TTTATTTGAAAACTATCAACGGTTCAACTATTTATTTGCTCCTTTATGTTGATGATATGCTTATTGCTGCAAAAAGTATGTCAGAGATTAATGAACTAAAGAAGCAATTGAGTAATGAATTTGAGATGAAGGATTTGGGTGCAGCAAAGAAAATTCTTGGCATGAAAATTTCCAGAGATAGACCGTCTGAAAAAGTATATCTAAGTCAGAAGGGATATATTGATGAATCCGTCAAGGAGTGGTGGGTCAAGTGTACCGATGACCGAAACCCGAATTGACATGCCATGTCCTTCTCTCATCATGCTCACCTCTTGGAGCATTTGGAACGAGCGAAATGTTAGGGTATTTCGGCAAAAATTTGCGCCACCGTCTATTCTCCTCCAAACCATCATTGGAGAGGCAAAGTTATGGGTTACTGCCGGCGCAAAGAAATTAGGGACTATCATTGTGTGTGAGTAATTGTCATGTCGCTTGTATGGGATGTCCTGTAAAACTCTAAATTCTATTCTTTCCTTATTTAATAGATGAGGCAAATCCTATGCCTCGGTTTCAAAAAAAATGACTTCAGTTGTGACAAGGCTGCTTTCTTCCCCAGCTTCTTCTCTATTCTGAATTTTACGAAACACAACAATGATATTATTGCTTAAACGGCACACGCTTGCTGCTGATACAATTCGGGCACCAGGTTTACGCAAACCCTTCATTTCAAGTCAAGTAAGAACTAAGCATTTGTGTAGAAATCACACTTCGCAAATGGAGCTTGAAATGACAGTAGCAGAACCATACACACAAGCTGCGGTAGCTTGATGCTAGAGAGATAAAGCTGGTCCCGGAAAATAATTCTCCGGTTCAATGCGTAGGATCCGTCAGCTCAGTGGCGGAGGACATCGCCCGGTTGGTTTCTTGTCTTCTGGCCCTGGCGTCCTAGTGCACCCTCGCTTGCAAGCAAGGCCCGCAATGATGGCGCGTCCCCCATGATCTTGACCGAGCTTTGCTACACCTAATCATTCGTTAAGACGGCACATTGATTGCCCATGCAACGCGGGACGGTGCGTGCACCGCGGGGTACGTAGTGCTTGGCGCAAAGTCATCGTCATATCCACTATACTGCGTGCTAGTATGATGATGTGCTGATAATGGAGCAAGTGAATTTTCTCCTCTCTCTTTTGTTGGGTTGTCTATTTAAAGACGTCCTATTTCAAAAGGCTAAAAGGCTAGTAGTACTATAGAATGGAATGAAGCTACGGAAAAGGGCTGGGAGCAGTACCAAGATTCGTCCGAGAATGAGTTGGTCATGTCGCCGAACGTTTTGGCTAGGCTAGAAAGCACGGCTAGCTAGCTAGGAACGTTGCTGCACGTACGATCACCCATCATCCGGACGAAATGCGTGGACCACCACACAATATCCAAACTGCGTCGACGTCTCGACGATCCATTTCTGGGTGCAACGAACCAGGGCGCTATTCACCAAAGTAAAATGAACTAGTACTAGAAAATTCTTCCTCCATGCCGTGGTAGCGGTGATGGACGGAAAGTAGTAACGAGCTGACCAAGAGGGGGAAACGAGCAGCGGGAAGCAGCAGAGCCCCGCCTGACCTTTTCCTTTCCCGGCGACGGTTCGCTCGCGTGCCCGGGGTCTGGGCGAGATCTGGAACCAGAAGAAGAAAGAAGACCGCCCCACACGCGGCTTGCAGGTGGATCACGTCAGGGCACCATTAACCCGCCCTGGGAGTGGGGATGTTGGCGCCCGTCGCAGCAACCGCCAGGAGATCCGCGCTCGTGTGTTTCCCCGCCGCGGTGCACCCAACCGAAACCCCGCAACCTCTGCCCCCAGCCGCACCGCCCTTCATCATCATGCAAAGGCAGGCCAAAGAGAGGATGGCGCAGAATTACCACGAGGATCGGAACATATTTTTACTACCTTTTTTTCCGTAAAGCAAAGCAGGCGCACCACAAAAACAAAGCAGGTCACCACCGGCCTTACTAGTAATCAGGCACGGTCTCCAACCTCGTTTAACCGCCTCTGACCGAAACAGCGTGCGGCGTGCGTGCGCCTGCTGCCGCGGCTGTTAGCTGTCACGTTGCATGTCTGCCACGCGCGGCCCGGCTCGTCCATCTCGCTGCCCCCGGGCCCCACGACCGGGTGCCGCTACGCGGGCCCAGCGCGCAGTGACAGCCGCGAGGCGTGTTCCATACACGGTTACACCTAGGATCGGCTTTCGCATCCGAGTACCAGCAGGACCTGTGTACTCTGCAGGCCACGTTCTATTTAGCTGTGGGCAGTACAGTAACTAATTCCGCTGTCACCATGAGAGGGCAGGATCGACAACTCCGTGCCGTGCTGCGGGTGGGGCCGCGGTACTGTGACTGACAGGAATTTCACGTTACTGCAGGGATGTTGGGGGTCGTCCTGCCTACGTTTGGTGGCCATAAAAGCCCAGATAAGCTTCCGGATAACTAACGAGAATCTCGCGACTTTGCAGTGTAATCAAGTCTTCTCATCCATCTGTTTCCTTTTCGCGTTGCAGGTAAACCGTACGTACTTGCAATCACCCCCTGTAAATGTTGGACTTGTGATGAAGAAGGCGTCCTTCCATGGCCATAGAATTTCGTTGCAAACGACCGGCGCTCGTGTCTCGATTAATATCGCGGCCGGACGGACGGGCCACAGGACATTCTCTGTCAAATAAACTCAGGATCAAGTACTCGCACCTACTAGTATTTTTTTTTTCTAGTAGGACAGTTTGCTCTTAGCAATTGAACAGTTCCTAGTTTTCTTAAAAATCATGTGCACGAGGGCTCAAACATTTCACAGGCGCTTACTTACCTTGGGTGCAACCCCACATTATCCCGGTTGAAGCATACTTGGCCCTTTTCACTCGAGTGCGATTCGACGAAATCGTTGCTTTCAGTAAAGAAAACGAATCTTCATGGATCTCGAAGCAAATGAGTGAGCTGAGGCGACGATCGACAACAAACCTTAAGACTAGCCACAATGGGTAGTAACATAGAGTAGTAACATGCCCATGTTACTACTCTATGTTACTACCTCTATAGTGGGTAGTAATATATGTGTGGTAACATGCAACACTTCATTTATTAGACCATAGACTTATTTTACCTTGATATGTGTGATGTTACTCATACTAGTAGTAACTAGCTATGTTAGACTACCCACAATGGAAGTAACATAGGTAGTAACATCACACATATCTAGATAAAATAGATGATGTGGCAAGCAATAAATGAAGAAAGAGAGGTATGTGGTAACATAACTAGTTACTACTAATATGAGTAACATCACACATATCAAAGCAAAATGAGTCTATAGCCTAATAAATAAAGTGCTGCATGTTACTACACATATGTTACTCCCCATTGTAGAGGTAGTAACATAGAGTAGTAACATGGGTATGTTACTACTCTATGTTACTACCCATTGTGGCTAGTCTTACCACATGCCTTTCTTTCTTCATTTATTGCTTGCCACGTCATCCATTTTATTTAGATATGTGTGATGTTACTACCTATGTTACTCCCATTGTGGGTAGTCTAAGCCCTAACCACTTATTATTATAATATTATTATCCATAGACTAGGCCAGTAAGCGCACCCATCTAGGTTCATGAAAACGCGAGAGCCTCAAAAGAAAACATATCCGCTTATTGTAATGTACGACCTCCTATTGACCATAACACGACCATTTTTTTATGATCAAAACATATGATAAAAATAATGCTGCCTTGATTCTTTCCATGGAACATACACAAACACCACAACTAAATGCTTCAATAAAAAACTGGAGTGTAAACAAACAAGGCCGGCCAAATGGAAGCTACTTATGCATTTATTAATTTCTTGCATTTTAATGAAGACGAACAAACTTGGAAACAATTAAACCGGGCCCTTTTTATCTTAGTATTTTAATGAACACACAGGAAGTCGTCAACACAGAAATGGAAACAGGCAGTCAGACCTGTGTTGTGCTGGTGGTGCGAGACCACTAATCTGCAGGGGCAGTTGGGTAACTTCGCCCCCGAACTCAAGTCGTGGAGCGGAGGGCGCAGCCGCCCGCATCCAACGGTCCGAACCGGAGCCTCCAATCCACAGACAGCTCACGCGCACCCCGCCCCTCCGTCCCCGCAGTATCTACGAGAACGCCACCGTCCGGCCGGCGCAGTCCGGCGCTGCCCCGCAGGGGCACATTAGTAATTCGGTTTTCTCTGCTCTAAATATTTTCGCCGGCGGCCTAAGTAACGGATCAAGAGCAAAGGGGGAAAAAGACACAAGGGGCATGGTGGAGGGGACGGAGGTTTGAAATTGTGAGGGAGAAGCGAAACGAAAGCCCCGAGGGGAGCGGGGGGAGGGAGAGGGCGAGCGGAGTAATTGCGTTTTTTGTTGGGGTTTTCCGTCCTGATTCGGGAGCGGGGGGAGAAATCATCCTGTCTCTCCAGTGCTGCTCGCTTTTGATGCGTTTCTTGGCCGATTTCTGCTGCCGCTTCTAGTGCTCCGACCCCTTGATTCGGAGCAGGCTTTGCTTTGGTTTCGGGTTCTTTCGCCTTTCCTTTCGCCAGAGATCGCCGGCTTTTGCCGCTGCCCAGGCTTCTTGGCCGCGTCGTCTCCTCCTCCCTTGAAAAATCGCGCGGAGTCTGGGTTCTTTTCACCCCCGTCCCTCGGTGCGGCACCGCCAAAATCTGTCCTTTGCGCGTGCGATTGGTGCTGTTTTCGGGGCCGGGAGCGTGAGATTTCGAGAGATTTCTTGGGGGGATTTTGAGGTCTCCTGGTGCCTGGTCGTGTAATTCGGGGTTTGGGTGGGTGTCGCTTTCGGGCCCTTGCCGAGCCAGGGGGGTTCATGCGCCTGGAGTTGGCGCTGATTTGATGAGAAATGGAGAAGTTCCTGGCCTCCACGGCGTTCTGCTGTAAGATTTGGCGTATTGCCGTGTGAGCCCTTGCGTGCGCTCACTGGTTTGCTCCGGTGGCTTGTTGATCTCTCGGCGGTGATGCTCTCTGCAGCCGCCGTGATGGCGCCAGTCCCGGCCGCTCCCAAGAGCTCCCTCGAGGTCTTGCTCGAGACCATAAAGAAGCGCGACGAGCGGCCCAAGGATGAGCCGCCGGCATTGCCGGCCCGCCCGACGTGCCGTGGCCGGCTGCCCAGGGCAAGACGGTCGCCGACGCCTCCTAGGGTTCATCTTGAGGATGGAGTGGCAGAGGGTGCTGTGGCGGATACTGACAAGAAGCCGGAAGCTGTAGCGGATACTGACAAGAAGCCGGAAGCTGTGAATGAGAATAAGCCAGAGATTGAGAAGGAGAATACGCCAGAGGTCAAGAAGGAGATTGGTGGGCAGGAGGCCAAGGAGGGGAAGGCTGTAAATGGTCGCATCTTTGGGGCCAAGAGAAAGCTATGCAGTGTGGAAGTGGAACTACTGGATGAGTCTCCGTATGTTGAGAACCTCCACGAGGAGAGGAAGGATGCAATGGCCTGCAAGGAGCCCCCCTCTCCTTATTTTTCCTCAGCAAGATCAAAGAGAAATGGGAAGCCAGTGTTTACTGATTCCATGGACTATGTCCTCCAGAAGGTGAGAATCTCATTCATAGTGAAATTCATGCGATTTTTCCTATTATCATGTGAACAAAGCAACAGCCACAAGTTCAATTTGTCTCTGTCACATAGAGTTAGGCTGAACAATTTCTCTGATATGGTTGCAAAACTCGCTCAGTATTCAACACCAAGAAATGTTAATCAAATTACTACTCGCGTATGCTTTATCTACAAAAGAGTTTAATGTGAATTTATTGTTTTCTCTATAAGTATACAGAACTTATTATCCTGCAGCATTTAGAAGTAGATGAAACAAGTGTTTCTTAATGCTCGTTCATGGTCAGGAAAGCATATTTCATACTTGCTTTGGCCTGTGTGTCAAGTAATTTGGCATGTTACATACTCCTACTTGCTTTGGCCTGTATGGATATGTTGGACAAACAGAACAATTTTGCATGTGCTTGGAATTAGTTCTGATATTAATCCTTCCCCCTGATGATTTGAGTCTGATGTTATGGTAGAAAAAATGAGGCAAAGTAATAATATTTTAACTGTTTTTCAGAAGCTACGGGTTTGGTGTTCTGCATCAGATGAGAAGTGGGAACTCGGACAGATTCAATCAATTTCTGGAGATGACGTCGAAATACACCTTGTTAATGGAGAAGTGAGTCTCATGTTGCTGTAATGGTATAGCTATTTGAGTAAATTTTGGTAACATTGTTACTTATATTTTGTTTGCGCAGGTTTTGACGCTGCCACCAGAAAGACTTTTGCCCGCCAACCCTGATATTCTAGATGGAGTGGATGATTTGATCCAGATGAGCTACTTAAATGAACCTTCCGTCCTTTACAATCTGCAATACCGATACTCTCGTGATCTTATCTACGTACGCACTATCCACCAAGCTCTAGATTGTTCATGGTCCAGTCAATGTCTCTTCATTTGTGTTCTCTTATCCTTGCAGACAAAAGCAGGACCTGTTCTGATTGCTATCAACCCACTGAAAGAGGTTCCACTCTATGGGAAAGATTTCATCAGAAAATACAGACAGAAGCTCACAAATGATCCACATGTGTATGCAATTGCTGATATAGCTTTTAATGAAATGCTAAGAGGTAGGTGTTTAAAAGGAGTAGTTTATAGGATTGTTTTGCAAAATTTATCTTCTAATGCAACTTATGATGCCTTGCAGATGGCATAAACCAATCTATAATAATAAGGTCAGAATGATCTACTTTGCCCTTTATAATAGTAATCACAGTATCTTAAAAATTCTGGGTTGCCCAATCTTTAACATGGTCTCTATGATGTTTGTCTTATTTCAGTGGTGAAAGTGGAGCAGGAAAAACTGAAACAGCTAAAATTGCGATGCAGTATTTGGCTGCTCTAGGGGGAGCTAACGGAATGGAGTCTGAAGTTCTACAGACCAATGTTATTCTGGAAGCATTAGGGAATGCAAAAACATCAAGAAATGATAACTCGAGCAGATTTGTAAGTTTATCTTTAGTGACATGTTGTCAATTCATCATTCTTAAGTAATTCTTATGACACCTTGATGATATCGATACAGGGTAAACTTACTGAAATGCACTTTTCTGAAACCGGAAAGATTTGTGGCGCTAAAATACAAACATGTAAGCCTTCTGCACCATATATTGTTGACATAGCTAGTCATAATATTGTCAAACTTCCTGATAGCTTGTTTCTCTGGGCATGTATGATGTGTTCCTCTAACTGAATCTCATGGAATAGTCCTGCTTGAGAAGGTACAATAGCTTTAGAACTTTACCCCAAACTCCATATTTTAGTATTTGTTGAAAGCTTTAATATCTTATATCTTGCTTGTGCAGTCGAGGGTGGTTCGGAGGGCATCAGGAGAGAGATCATATCATATTTTCTATCAGCTGTGCTCTGGAGCTTCTCCTCTTCACAGAAGTAACCGCACATTCCTATCAAGGAATTAATATATCTTACATTTCATTGCATCGCCTTTCATTTTTTGATCTGTTATATATGCATGTGCTGTTGCAGAAAAATTGTTACTGAGAGACGCCAATTACTATAATTACTTGAAGCAGAGTGCTTGCTTGAGAATTGATGGTGTTGATGATGCTAAAAGATTTTCGTCGTTATTGGTAATGTTTCTACAAATCAACCACATTTCCGACGAAACTTCGGCTATTATCGTTACTTGTTACTCATCCATTTTTTCATTTGCAGGGTGCATTGGATATTGTTCAGATATCTGGGGAAAACCAGATGGAATTATTTTCTATGCTAGCAGTTGTCTTGTGGCTGGGAAACATTTCATTCTCTGTGATAGACAATGAAAGCCATGTGGAAGTTGATTCGAACGAAGGTACCAATTACCCGTTGGCGAATGTACTCCTCTTTGTGCAAAAAACCCCTATCCCCTTCCATATTTTTTCTGTTTTGATAATACCCTGTAGAAATATCCCAAAGTGTAAACTGTGTTCCACATTTGTACAAAGAAGTTGATATTGGCGTCATTTGATTTTCATGGGGTTTGCTGAATGACCATTGTTTCCCATTGTTTAATGTCTTCACAGGGTTGGTTAATGCAGCAAAGCTGTTAGGTTGCAGTGTCCCTCAATTGGTGATTGCTCTCTCAACTCGTAAAATCCAAGCTGGAAAGGAAAATATTGTTCAAAGACTGACGTTAACCCAGGTTTGAAATTGCCTGGAAAATTTATCTATCTGGGGATATCTGTCAGCTGTTGCTTATTGATTTTCTTGTCTTGTTTTTTACTTATAATTTCTGCTTTCTCTAGGCAATCGATGCAAGGGATGCTCTAGCGAAGTCAATCTATGCTCATCTGTTTGACTGGATTGTTGAGCAAATTAACGACTCGCTTGGAACGGGGAGACAACGTACACGAAGATCCATAAGTATTTTGGATATCTATGGCTTCGAATCTTTCAATGTATGGAGTTCATTGCATTTTATCGAATACAAGTTCTGCTTGAGTGCTCTTTAGATGACATTAAGTTATACCATTGCAGAAAAATGGCTTTGAACAGTTCTGTATAAATTATGCCAATGAAAGGCTGCAACAGCATTTTAACCGACATCTATTCAAACTAGAACAGGAGGTAAGATTCTGACACTTCTCTGGATTATTTGTTTGTTTAATATAATAGGTGTAAACAGCTATAAGTCTTATTATTACATACACGTTCTTCCATGTAAACCAGGGTTTAGGGTACATTGCGCTGTCAGTGCTTGTGTACTAAAGATGTGAAGGACGAAATTTCCTGATTTTTTCATAACTAGGGCACTAGTTGGATGCTGAAGTTGATTTTACATAGCCCAAGTTGTATATGCATGCTCTGATGCAATCACAATGTCCGATTTTTTTATTGATAATGGAAGCTCCTTTTATTAACCCGGGCCTCTGCGTCATAGATGCATGCAGCCATACTTATTACAGAGCTTATTACATCATCAAGAAAAGTGGTCTCGACTAAAACAGAAGAAACCATAACACCCAGTTAAAGCACAATAAAGAGCTATTAGCCTACCACACAAGACTACTCTATAAACTAAGAAGTCTATCACTGGCACGCCATCCAAATCCGGACATACAATATCCGATACTACCTGTTTTATGTCTTGTCTTCTGAGACTCTGAGTGCGTCTGTGCTTTCCTAAACGATGTCAAAGTTCTTGTAGCTAGGGTAATAAACCTCAACAATAGCAGGCCTTTGTTGGTCACTGAGCTTTTTCACCCTATACTGCGATTAGCAAACACCAAACCTTGTTTTATGGTATTTTAAGGAAATGGTAAATTTGGTTATTGTCTAAGATGTGGGAAACAGAAAAACTCGATATGTTTCAGGAAACACGAAAAGATAATAAACCACAGGATGCAGTAGATTTCTGTTTGGCTTGCAAGTTCTGGCCTTCTGAATATATCGTAAACTGGATAACTACCGCCATGAGGATGGCACGACATCACGATGTAGGGGATTGAGGGATAGAACATAGGTGAGACGAAGAACGTGGGTGGACCCGATTACTTACGTACTTACTTACTAAGCCTTTTGTCCCAAACAAGTTGGGGTAGGCTAGATATGAAACCCTTTCACGAGGACTTCCCAGGAGGTCACCCATCCTAGTACTACTCTCGCCCAAATGGGTTTCATACCCAAAGGACTAGCTAGTTTTTACGGTGGCTCGCCAAGCCTATCACAACCCTTAGATATGAAACCCTTTCACGAGGACTTCCCGGGAGGTCACCCATCCTAGTACTACTCTCGCTCAAATGGGTTTCATACCCATGGGACTGACTAGTTTTTACGTTGGCTCGCCAAGTCTATCACAACCCTCCTCCTTTACCCGGGCTTGGGACCGGCTATGCCTAGAAGACATAGGCGGAGTTGGGTGGACCCGATTGATAAACTATTTTTATTAGCTTGATTAACATTCATAATGGATACATCCATCCCCTTATATATGAAGGGAAGAAAGATCCTGTTTCCAATTCAAATGATACAATGTTATCTAATCCTCCTTGCCTAACTGACTGGGACATCATCCTTTTTTAGGGTAGCTAGGGAGTAAGGATGTCTGAGACCTAACTAATGCACCTAATACCATTTCCAGTATTGTTAGAACACTGGTTGGAAGTTGCGTCTTACCAATGATCGAGCCCAACTTTGCGAATTGCTTAGTTGTTTTAAGATATATGCAGCTTGTTTTAGTTTCCGTGTTGTAAAATTATAAAGTTGATTCTTGATGTTTTCATTTATCTGCTCATGCATTCACGTGTTTCCAGTTTTGTTTTATGCATTTTCCTCTGCATCTTTGTACTTATGCTAATTCTATTCTTTCAGGAGTATCTGGATGATGGAATTGACTGGGCCAGTGTGGAATTTGTGGACAACACTGACTGTTTATCTCTCTTTGAGAAGGTATGCAGTATATTTTTCATGGAACAACTTTACTTATGAACCATATCCTCAAGCTATCTACATTGCTGGCTGGAGTAATGTTGCAATTTTGATATTTTTATGCATTTCTTTTATAATTACTGACCTGACATGTGCAACCTGTAACTGGATGTGCTTTTAGTCAAATTTCCTTTCCGTTGTCATTTTGTTTTTCTTGTTATTAGTTCTGCCATGCGAATGTCTTGCAGTGCAGAAATTTATCATTTCTGTCACCAAATCTCCTTGGGCTCACTGATGTCTGAGACTCTCTGAGTTACTTAAGTACTTCGTATCAAGCTACTCCAGCATAAATGACATCATCCACGATAAAGTGATTTTTAAATAGATTTAAATATCTTTAAGAGGAGTGCCTCTGTGCTTTCCTAAAAGAGAACACTAAAAATAAAAAATGCACAGATTATTGTTTGGCTGCAATTGTTAAAGAATTGTGCTACATTGAGTCCTTGATGGTGATGACATGTTAATACCTTTTGATATTAGTTTCACTGTTTAAATGTTCTATAATTGTATGTGCACTATTTTACAACATTCTATGTTACAGAGGCCTCTAGGGCTATTATCTTTGCTGGATGAAGAGTCTACATTCCCAAAGGCAACAGATCTTTCCTTTGCTAACAAACTTAAGCAGCACTTGAGTGGAAATCCTGGATTTAAGGGCGAACAAGATGGTGCCTTTAAGATTTGTCATTATGCTGGAGAGGTTGGTGGTCCTCAAATACATATTCCTCCATTTGTGAGCTTGTTCAATAAACCATCATTATTTTGTGTGGAAGCTCTCTATATGCTAATTGATAATTGTGCACACTGTAATTCTAGGTTTCGTATGATACAACTGGGTTCTTGGAGAAGAATAGAGATCCACTGCACAGCGAGTCAATTCAATTACTCTCTTCGTGCAAAAGTGATCTTCCAAAAGATTTTGCGTCTGTCATGATTGCTGATTCTCAGAATAAGTCAACTTTGTCACATCACTTATTTGTTGATTCACAAAAACAAAGCGTTGTGAACAAATTTAAGGTATTCATCATCTATTCATCTGATCGATCGTTTGAGCATGTTCTCAAGCTCTCTGATTATTTTCTTTCAGTTTTATAATTTGCATGTATTTTTCTAGTAACATCTCAATGCATGATGTTGCTTGCATTATTGTCAAGATGGCTTTACTTATAACGATCTCGATACTCTCTTTAATACCCAGGCTCAACTATTCAAGCTAATGCAGCAATTAGAGAATACAAGTCCTCATTTCATTCGATGCATCCAGCCAAATAACAAACAACGCCCGAGGCAATTCGAACATGACCTTGTCTTGCACCAGCTTAAGTGCTGTGGTGTGTTTGAAGTTGTGCGGATATCGAGAGCAGGCTATCCAACTCGGATGACACACCAACAGTTTGCTGAAAGGTTGGTACTTTGCTGAGCTACACTATTTTTTTGCTTGAAATGCAGAGCTAGACTTAATGAGCACACTTCTTTATTTTGTTCAATACTAGCACACGAGCTGACTCCAGGTTCCATCTTTTTATAATAATCTGCAGATATGGATTTCTTCTCTCTCATTCTGTCGCATCTCAGAATCCACTTAGTATTTCAGTTGCTGTATTACAACAATTCAGTATACCCCCAGAAATGTATCAAGTTGGCTACACAAAATTGTTTCTTCGTACGGGACAGGTATAACAAGCATTCTAATAGTTTTCATCGTACATTCAGCTCTCCAGTTTAATTTGCAAGATCAATAATATTTTGGTACACCATAATCAAATTTACTTCGCAATGATTTTCCATTCGTGTATGTGGTATTATGTATGTTGCTTGTCATTCTTATTGATAATTTTGTAGGTTGCTGCACTGGAAAATGCCAAAAACCGGATGTTCCATGGAGCTCTTCGGATTCAGAGAAACTTCCGTGGGTTGCATACTCGAAGAGAATATCACACACTGAAGAAAGGAGCAACAGCTTTGCAGTCATGTAATATTTTAAACAAATTGCCTTTTTAGGATGTGCAGACTTTGAAATTGAAATAATTCTCCTTGCTCTGTTAATCAACACAATCTTGGTTATTTCACTTACCTTTTTCATTTGCCAATGTACAGTTGTAAGAGGTGAAAAGGCAAGATTTCGATTTGATTACCTTTTCAAGAGATGGAGGGCAGCTGTTCTCATACAGAAGTACACTAGGCGTCGACTTGCAGCCACCATGTTTACTGATCAGCTAAAAAATATTGTTGTTCTACAGTCTGGTAATTTATGAAGGCGTAATATCACAATATTGCAGTAGATTATTGCGTTCATCACTTCATCTAATCATCTGCTTCCGTATGTTTCTACAGTGATACGTGGGTGCCTGGCCAGGAAGAAATTCAACTGCTTGCAGGAAGAAAAGGAATCTAAAGTCATTAACAGCAAAGTTAAAAGGGATGTAAGGAATAATATTTCACAACCGAGGTTATGCCATGTGAGTTCTAGGTCACCAGATCTCTATATTTTGTCCGTTATAAATCTAGCAAGACCCTGGTTGCTGCTGCATACCACTTTTATGCAGCACCAGATGGGTAGTAATTTACTATTGAGTCCAGCACCAGACGGGAACTACTCTATACTATGTGCGTAATCATCAACAAAGAGCTACTGAAAATGTTTGTTTTATTAATACAAGATTTCCCTGCACTTGGTTCAACTGCCTAATGGCAGAGGCGTCAAAGGTTTGATAGTCTTTAATTATTTGCATCCCATGTCAGGAAATGAATGGAGAGTATCCTCGCCAACCAGTTGTCACAGAACTCGAGGAACGCGTTTCAAAAGCTGAGGCTTTATTACGAGACAAAGAGGAAGAAAATGCGATGCTGAAGCAACAATTGGAACAGTATGAGAATAAATGGTCAGAATATGAGACCAAGATGAAAGTTATGGAAGAGGCATGGAAGAAACAGCTCTCTTCTCTGCAGGTAAATCATTTATAGTAGCTTTTGTTTTCGTTTAAGGCACCTGATCAACATCTTCTAAAACATGAAATTCATCTGACAAGATAATGACAACATATACTACTTCAGCATGCCTTGTGTGATGAAATCTGAAGTATTCATGAATGTTGTGTCAAGCATGCCTTGAACTAAAAGAATAGATGCATCTAGAGTTTGAATATTTGAATGTTAGATTAGAGAGGAGTGTCTCATAATTCCATGGCATTCAGTTTTTTTTTTGTTTTTTTTTTGCATTACCCTTGAGATGATGCGATCCTCTTGTTTTCCTTTCAGTTGAGTCTTGTGGCTGCTAAGAAGAGCCTAGCTGCTGATGACATGGTCACCCGAGCAGCTCGGACTGATACCACTCCAACGCATGCTCAATACGACTCTGAAGATACAATGTCCACAGGGACCCATACCCCAGAAGGAACAGAGTTGAAATACCAAAACCACAACCCTGAACCTAGAGTGGTGACAGGAAACTCAGATAGGCGGATAAATGCTGTGAATCACCTAGCAAAGGAGTTTGAGGACAGGCGGCAGGTGTTCGACGACGATGCTGGCTTCCTTGTCGCCGTGAAATCCGGACAGATTGGTTCAAATATGAATCCGGACGATGAACTCAGGAAGCTGAAGGACCGGTTTGCTACATGGAAGAAAGACTACAAATCTCGGTTGAAGGAAACGAAGGTAAACCTTCAGAAGGTCGGCAGTCATGACGAGAAATCTCGGAAAAGATGGTGGGGGAAGAAGAGCTCCAAGTGAACGCGGAAGTTACAAGGTCAGAGCATTTCCTCACATTTTGAGTGCCATTGCATCAAAGGAAGAGAGATCAAGAAATGGCAGGAGAGAAGGCGGTTTTGTGATTCTCGCTCTCTATCGCAAGCAAGCCTGGTGAGATGGCGGCGACGGCGAACTCCATCGCCGATACCTGCGCATCCAGTGTTTCGGGAGTGTCGAAAGAACTGCAAGAGGCACAGCAAGCGATCTGTACATGTATGTTAGTTCTGAGTTGTCAGTGTATGTATGTGTATGTTGTCGTGTATGTAGAGCGATGAACCGGAAATATGAAAGGGTAATTAAATACAGATTATCCGCCGAGAGCGAATAGAGATGCAACAGCAGGACTGTAATGTGTACAGGAAAGAAATCGTTGGAATGTGCAAGGCGTTTGAATCCATTGTTTCCTCCCTTGTCCGCGTGAGCTTCGTTTCTGCACTGTACCTGACTGAGTTTGCCAAGTTTCTGAGTAAGAGCTGCTCTCACGGCCATTGGCGCTTCATTTCTGCACTGTACGTGACCATACAAGTGGAATGCTAGATAATATATACTCCCTCCGTGAATGTAAGGGCTTGCCTGCTCCCTTCCCATGCTCCCATCCGTGCTCCCACTTCATCCTACGGTTCACCTTTTTCCTTTCTAATCTAATCATCTCCCCCCTTGATTTTAAGGAGGTGGGGCCGGGTCTTATTTTGTTCCAATCAAATTAAGCCACGTATGCGGGAGCACGGATGGGCGCACGCGAGGGGAGCAGGCAAGTCTCGTCCACCCATGATAAGGGATAAATCGGCAATTTATCGGCCCATTTATCGCCATATCAGCCGATTTATCTTATCGATCAGACACCGGTAAACGATAAATCGTCCGATTTACCGGAATATCGGAAGATAGCTTGAACGGTGAGTCCGTTTCAAAATAAGTGTCTTAAGTTTAGTATAACTTTGTACTAAAGTTAATACAAAGTTGATAAGTGTCTTAGTATAATTTTGGGACGGAGGAAGTATTTGGCAAACGGAGTAAAGAAAATAGTTTTCTATTAAATTGAATGTAGCTCATAAACCTAAAAAATAGAACAAAGTTGATAATCTCATATGGTGTGCTTTTAATTCCAGCTTGTTTTGCAATTCTACTTGTGTCAAAATATTTGATTGGTAGTAGCTTGGAGCTACAGATGGAAAATTTGGGGTCAAAACTACTATGTATACAATCCAATATGGAATTTATAATCAATCTAACAAACAATAACTAGCGTCTACCGGTTTATACAGATCTAAGAGCATTACTAGTAGAACCCTCAAACCCTCAAATTCTCAAAGCACTTTTAAGGGTTGAGAAGTGCCACTTTTTGACACTTTTAAGGGTTGAAAAACAGGGGCAAATACTAGAACCCTCAAACCCAACCCGTAAACTGCTTTAAGGGTTGGATTTGAGGGTTCTAGTCTTTGCCTCAACCCCAACCTTTAAATCTATCATTTGGCATCTCACAATTTATGACAACAAGAACACAATCAACTTCCAAACAAACTACCAAATGACAATCATTGATGCATGGTTTAATAGTTTACATCACAAAATCATCATCTTCCTCCTCTCATCGGCACCATCACCAAAAGTTGCACCTCGGCGCCATCTCCTAGACCACAAGCGGGCTCCATCAAGCATGTCCATCGCCACCGATGGAGTCGTACACACCGCCATCACCACAACTACTCATCGGAGTGTCACCTCGAAAAGTAGAGGACGCAACACGAAACATCCTCTTCCTCTCCGCGATGTCCTCCTTGTAGTCCTTCCACCATTGCAATTGGTCTTGATCCATGTCCTTCTTGGACATCATCATGTGCTCTTTCTCTTCCACCATGAGTTCTTTCCATACCTTTGCCTCTTTGAGCTTGATCATCCTCTCCTCCAACTCGGCCTTGCGCTTTGCTTCTTCACGTTTTGCTTCAACTTGTGCAAGCTTGACCTCTTTCTTCTTCTCGGTGATAAGAAGCTTCATCTCCAATGTCTTCGTTGTCAATTCCTCTCTTGCCTTTATCATGTGGTCCATCTTCTCCCTTAGGCTTGACGCCTCTTCTTCCATCTTCACCCTTAGCTTGCCCTTCTTGTTTCCCTCGGGCTTTCCCACGTTCCTCTCCTCCTCATCTTCACTATCGTCCATCCTTAGCATTGCCGACTTCTTGGGTGCGGTCTCTTGATCCCTCAACTTCCACTTGTCAAAGGTTTGAAGAATTGACCAAACATGCTTAAATGGGAATGGCTTGCCCTTGGAAGCGGCCATCTCCTTGTACCTCAAGCCGGCAATTGTCTCCTATCAACCACACATAAATCACATAAGAACCCACCAATAGCATAGTGCACACACATAATTAAAAAAGTGAAGAAATATGTACTTACATAGTCACTCTCCACGGTTCCACTAGGTGGTGCATCCCTCACTTGGTCCATGGCCGCACTCCAACGAGAACAAGCGGGCTTGATCAACTCCCAACGGCCTTGAAGCGACCGGAATGTGCGATGGATGAACCCACTATTCTTCGGCTTGATCCTACAATAAACGTCCTCAATCCTTTGCCAATAGAGTTTACCGGTTTGATCGGTGCCGGTGGTAGCATCCATTCCCACAGCTGCCCAAGCACGAACCAAGAGGACATCTTCCGCCTCGGTGTAGTTTGTGGACCGAGCGTGTGGGCGGGAAGCGGCGGTGAATGCCTCCACCCCTATCTCGGCCACCTCCTCCTCGTCATCCCCTTCATCCTCCTCATCTTCCTCCAAGTCGTCTCCAACCCTAAAGGGGTCTAGAGGCGGAGCTCCGAGGTCCACCTCCGCGTTTTGGAGGAGGTCCATGAACGAGGATGGGGTTGCCATTTCCTCGAGCACCTCGTGCACGGCGGGAGAAGGTTCAGTGACGGTGGCGGGCGGGGGCCTTCTTTCGCGGCTTCTTCACGGTCGGGGACGAGCCGGCGACCTTGGCGGCCCCTTGAGGCCCACGGCCGGCCGCCTTCGGGCGGCTCTTCTTGGGGGCGGGCGCCGGGGCCGTGGCGTGGGCGGGCGCCGGGGCGGGGACGGGGGCCGGGGCG